GCTTGTACTGGTACGAAGTCTAGCAAAAACAACCTAGGTTCCGATGCGATGAGCGCTCATTGAAGTCCCAGATGACTGCCAACATATGTGACAATATCTGTGTGGATGGAGTCATTGACGTCTTCATGGGCTCAGATCGTAGTATCCTCGACGTTTTCTTTATTTCTAATCGGAGTTCCAGAGAACTGGCCAGGTCACTGATCGACTGACACCCAGAACACAGCTCGACGGTAACCTTGGAATAGCCGTGGCGTCTTATCCCGCTATTGTACTTCTGCAGTACGCATTAGTGGTATGCACAGTAAATGAGAAAGGTTTCTGTCTGCCAGTGTTTTATTCACGTTTGTTCTGTGGCCGCAAAAAATGTGCGGCTAAGCTGTTTACTGCGCTCGAAGCATACTACTGATTGATTTGTAGGTGTTGATCCCACGCAGTTTTTCTTCTGAAGTGGATAGCGTCTGCATTATTGGTCACATAAATTTCAGGGCTGCTTGGAGATGTCGAGGCTCAAAAATTTTGTTTCCTGGAAAATTAGCTTCTGGTAAAATTGTAAATCTAAAGCTATACAGTTGACTTAACCATCTAGGTTAAGATTGTCCAACCCGTCACCAAGTAAGGATAAGAACGAACATGTTCCTGCGTAACTGGATGCATTCTTTATACCCTAGATTCAAGATTGAGAATGTTAGAAGTCGAGTTCTTGCAATCTGGACTTGCTGTTTCAGGGATGTTGCAATCTTCCTGTGTCTTTTTTTACAAGTTGAAGGCCCTGTCAGTCAAAACGCCTATTCCTCCTCAACAAAAATTATATTTTAGTATCGCCGTCGCCGCGTCCCTTTTGGGCCAACGCGTGGAGTCCTCGTTGAACACTGTACAATTAGTTAGTTGTTATCCTACGTCCGACGCATATCCATCGTCGGTCACTTCAAGCCAACCAACCACCCTCGGTCCAGAAACGGTTTACGGCGGCTGATGAACAATGCCAATGTTTTTGGTCTTCCTTCCTGATTTCCCCACAGATGCTCCCTTATATTTCCTATCTGCTTGTGCACCAAGTTACCTCTGATCTTCCAATCCCAGTCTTTTTTAATTGGGGGAAATATTTCGGAATAGTATCGCCTTTTGGTTCGATTGAGACAGAGCCGTTGGTAGCTATGCCTGCTAGGCTTGCGCACCGACATCTCGTGCGGCATTTGGAAAGTCTTCGCGGATGAACTCCGTTGATGCAGGACTAATCGATTTACCCCCACAGGACTGGAGGGCGATAACTGCAGTGGAACTCTAGTCGATCAACCCCTTTAAGCTCCTGCATGCTCATCATCAACGTCAGGAAACCATGTGTCGCTGGGAAGGGGCTGTTTTGCTTGCTTACTACCTCCGAAGTTTCTTACCTGGACAGAGGTGTCGTCCGCCAATACACCGCGTCGACTGAGTGAGCGGTTTGATCACGGTCCCCACTCGAAGGCGAAAGCTTGTTTAGGCTTGGGTTTTGAGTTGTGAAACATTGGCCGATGGCCTACCGTTCTGCCCTAGAGCTGCGGCACGCTACTTGATCTTGCTTAGACGACCTTACAAGCGGCCATGATTACATGCTCTATAGGCGTACTGCGTGAGTGACCACTGAGACTATCGTGAGGACGCCAGGACTCTATATCTTCATTAGAACCACCCTATAACCCCAAAGTGGGCAGTCAGGAGTTCATTCGCGAGTCCGGAACACGCCAAAGACATGGTTTTCCACAAGTGGGTAATTTTTTAAAAAGAAACACCTTTAATCTGCGAAAGCGTCACAGAGGAGGGCTAACCATATCGTTAGGGTCTTTCGAAAACGGAGCAATTTATCCTCACGGGTACAGACGTTTGAAATATCGTAGGTTAGGTCGCTACCATTTACTCAGAGTTCGGGTGTGTATCTGAGCGTAAGACATCGGCAAGAAAAGTACTTAATAACACCGCAATCGAGTCGGACTGATACACTTTACGGGATTTATGGTGAGCTGGGCTCCAACAACTCCCTTCATGATGACACTGCCCCGCCGATCCGCGGTCCCCTGTTGTAGACCGAGGCCTGTCCTGTACGTAGTGAGCCCTCGGCAGAAGCCACCCCGTCAGCTTCGTCATATAGGTAGGCTCCGGAACTTGCATCGTGACAATCCGTTTCCTAGTCCAGATGCTTCGCCGGCAGATGAAATTTGCGTCTCGCGTTTAGCGTTACCAGTGGTGATGCGGTTGACTTCATAGATCGTTGCGCCTGTCTTCACTGTTCTCCTCCATGTAGGTCGGCCCCGGGCGAGGTCTTCCTAGTTTGTCGGGTTGATCTGTGAGCGCTTCAGGGAGGTTTTCAGATTATATTTATGGCGCCGCACTTTGCCTCCTTATCGGCGTGAACCCGTCGCGACATCTCCATAGAAGAGGCGTTTGGGTTGCCTCTCGTCCATCCACACGAGGTGACCATCCAATGCAGTTGCATTTGTCCCAGCACGAGGTATATGCTGAGGATTCCCGTACCCTTCAGTACGTCCGTGTCTTGAATCCCTTCCTGTCACGTCAGCTTCAGTATTCGATGAAGACAGCTGAGTTGGAAGTGGTTGAGTCTACGTGCCTGCCTCATGTACGCCGTCCAAGTCTCTGCTCCATACAGCAACGTCGGGAGGATGACAGCCTTGTACACCTTCACTTTCGTGCTGAGTTGAAGACCGTGACGATTCCAAACTGTGTTTTGAAGACCAAAGAAGGCTTGACTAGCCTTGGAAATTCGGTTGGCCACTTCATCGTCGGCTTGGGCGCTGCTGGGGAGGGTGATGGCCACGCACGTGAAGTTGTCCACCACTGGCAGTTGGGCGCCGTTCACGTTGATTTGGGGTGCGAAGTAAGCAACATCGGGTGGCGGTTAATGCACTACCACCGTCTTCTCCGTGTTTATGACCAGGCCCGATTTCTCTCAGGCGTCGGAGAAGAGACCCATATCCCTTTGCATGTCTCCTTCAGTAGTTGCATTGAGGACGCAGTCAACGCCGAACAGAAGTTTATGGGAAGATACCCCTAACCCCCCGAAACGCACGTAACACCAGATGGTTTGCACTCGTACCCTAGTAGCTTCCTTGTAAGGTGTCAGCGGGACCCTGAGACCCTGGTTTTCCCTGTCTCCTCTCACCTGACTTATTGCCCTGTTTGCACATACGTACAATGAATGAGCGGTTGCATTGCCTCGGTCATTCCGATACATGGGCGGCAAATCCCGTGACGCCTTCTTTGATTAAATTCGTAAAGCACCACCCGCGTCCGACACTATAACGTGGGCAGTCGATGCCCCTTCGTAGTGGCGTGGCCAACCTGACGGCCACAGCGAGCTAAAGACGCCCAGCACTCCCCATGTAACAAAGTTGATGCGTAGTAATTTCCTCTGGACTTATCTGGCATCCTCGTTATTACGATCCAATGTCGCCTTGTTTACGCACTTATTAACCAAAACCCATAACCAATCTGACAAACATGTTTTCTGAATTAACTTCGGGACACCTGGCTTCGCAGGGTTCAAGCGTGACACCAGCCGCCTCACAAAGCGCCGCAGCCCTCTAACACCTATGTAAGCAAGGATTTGTTAAGTCAGACGGGACCCTGTAGTTCTTGCTTTGTAGGCAATACTCTTCAGGGGGCGAGGGGACGGGATACCTCGGTCAACCCTCAGGAAGCGCCCGGAAATCGGCAGTCCCCTAAACTCCCAAGTCGCCTATCGGATTCTCCTACGGCTGGGCACCGGCGTTTCACTCTCAGCAAATCAGTCAACGGCTGGGGACGGTGTCCCGTCATGTGAGCAGTGACAGGCTACAACTTGCACGCTGCCGGACAGTGTATTTACACTTCTGCTGTCTCCGCGGCTGCAGACTGGAGGTCACACACGTCAAACTAGCAAATATCGACCTGGAAGGGTACGAACCCCGAAGACTGCGCGCGAAAGCCCCCGAGCGTTAAGACCGGTATAAGTCTAGTCCTTGTTACTTTGTCGGCCGCAGTCAACGTGAACCGACAACAGTCAAGGAATAAATCCCGGTGGGCCTGACTACGGCCTAGCCGCAAGCCCCTGACCGACCGACAGTTGAAACCGAGTCGGCAACCGTCCCTGCCCCCCCCCCCCCCCCCCCCCCCCCCCCCCCGATCTTGCACGATGCAAACGGGCCCGAACACAATCCAGAAAGTCATGCCGAGAACGCAGCACCCAAGAAGACTAGGGTACGCAGACGGCCATATACAGAGCCCACCGTTGATGACCTCATCTCGCCAAAAATAAACCGTCCAGTCGCTCCGCACCATCCTGGGCGACCTACATACGTCGTGGATACAATAAGGTAGGTCAGTCGACCGGGTTGACTGCGTGCAGAGTAAGCCTCACCAGCCACGATTAGTCGCACAAAAGTGTAAGTCGATTTTCACCCCCTAGCCCACCATAGTAAACGCCAACATCCCGGTTGACGAGCGACCTTTCAGTTGGTGTTCCGTAAGGGTGCTCGATGGCCTTACGACTTTAAAAAAATGTAATTGTGGAACCCCCGCTCCTCCCGGAAAGGGGAGCCAGTCAGAATTGGACCCGTTAGTACTGCCTTAACTGTTATCATCGACGCTCGGACGTCATTTCACGCAAGTATACACATTTTGAATGCAAGACCGTGTGGTGGCTGTGCAGACCTCGTTCCTTGTGTCCTTAAATTGGCTATTGAGCACTACACGAGTATTTGGATGAGTTGCTTGGGACATCATACCTGTCACAGCTGAGGACAAAGGAAAGGAGCTAAATGCATAAACGTTATATTACAGTGCGTATTAGTCGGTGACAGTGGTCAAACAAGTCGTAAATGTTGCAATATACAGATCGGGGGGAAACGCAGAATGATATTAGGTAGGCGAACGCGATCTGGAGCCCGACCCACGACGTCTGGAAAAGTGGCTGTCACGGGTATCGTTGTGGTATCTGAAGGACCTATCATCGTAGTCTCCGGTTGATCTCATTTTTGAACCATTCCGTAACCCTGGAGACCTAGAGGGAGACCTTGACACTGAAAAGTCGCGGTAATCCCGCCGGATCCCTTCACTCCCTCGCGAAATGCTCCTTGAACGACGAGAGCCCCGTCGAGGACTGAATGATGGCGATCTAGGATAACCACAAAATGGAGTTACTTAATCTCAAAAACCAAAGTCGCCTGGCAATTAATCAGGAGGCGGGAACACAAAATCCGTAGAGTGGTATAATTTAGTACACAAGCGTCATACCGCACCGTAGAGCAAGTTTCCGGAACACCATCTACACACTCATTCGCATGTTTCGTAACGGGCAGAGACAATTGTGAACAGTGGAGATTTTAACGGCGCCGTTTCTCACAAAACAACCCATAGGTTTCGTTGGAGATCCGCGAAACGGCGTTACTGCAGTCTGCTGGCAGTCTTAGTTTCCCGAAGTTTGGTCGGCAGGTAGCGTAGTGCAGCGCGTGACTCAGTCTAACAACATCTGTTGATTTGCGCTGGCAGGCAGTCGTCACTAGCTGTCTCGTGGGTCTTCTGTTTTGTTATTATACCAGGAATAATCAAGCCAGTGCGCAAGACCCAGTTATACTCAGGCGTGCGGAGGCAGCTAACGAGGTCTAGCATGTCATGGCCGAAATCTACGCGAAACGCCAAAGTACGTCTTTGGTGTTGGCGCTGTCCATGAACATCGGCTCCTATTGCCAAAGCCGGTATATCACCGTTACTTGTAACGTGTTAATCGTGCAACAATTGCACTTAGGAACAACATAGCACTTGATTTCATGAAGGACCAGAATTTCAGGCTGCCACAAAAAACGAATTCTGGCACTACAGGCTTGTCGGATTACCACATTTGAGAAAAACTTGCGCTGGCGACTTGTAGCTTATATATATGAGGAGCTTTGTGGATCGTGCTATAGGTGGAACCAGTTGTTTCGACTAAAACTACTGCAGAGGGTGATCGTTCTTATGAGCGCAGCGATGTGGGCGGATATAAAGGGACAAAAGCTCCTAGAAATAGCAGGATGCATAAGTGTTAACGTCGCACCTTTCAGGAAGTTACGTCGGACCCCACCGGGTAAGGCGACGAAACCCCAAAAGGACATTCATACTAGTTTTCGCTGCAATCGGTAAAACTCACGGCACAGGAACCTCAGCGAGTATGTGCAACGAAATGTTAGATTTTATGGAGACTGTCGTCATACTTTGACGCTTTGCACTTCCAACACTTCCAAGTACTGCTGCGATTGCTTACTCGTACCCAGTGATCTACTAACGCCGGGGCCTGTGTTTGATGAGGACTGTTCTACCCGGCGCCCAGTCGTTTCCGGCAAATAGTGTACTAGCCACTAGACGTCGCATGCATGGTCTATCTTCTACTGTGAAATACCAAAACAAGCTCACTGTTGGTAAGGTAAAACGAAAACTAAACGTCCTCAAATACAATAGGGCTACCATCGAGACCCCCGAGACTACTCTTGAGCTTGAACGAACTTGATAACAAATTTTGATCGGTGTGGAGAATATATCGACCCTGATAGGCTATGGGCCAGAGGGGCTTATTACGATCATCTAAACTGTCTTGTTAATTAATACAATGTCAAAAGATCAAACGTACCGTGACCTCCTTCGGTAGTTGGATTCATTCCGGCGGTCTCGGCCACGCATTTCAGCTGGTGCTGGTCGAGCATGATAATTAGGAAATCAAACATGCTTACTCTTGCGGACGCCTCTTGTGAACTCAACCTCGATCCGACGGCCTAGAAATCGACTATGGTCCATGTTGCGGTGGGCATCCTCGGCATCCCTAGGGTCCTCAAACGTGCGAAGGCAATCGGCAAGTCAAGGAAGACATTTTGGCCTTAGGAAAGACACTCACCAAACATCTTCCTTGTTAAACAAATCGGATAGTGCTGCATTGCATTGCAGTTGAGTGGGGCAGGAATACTTGCACTGAGGTAGGATTATGGACCCGGCCCTTGACTGGTTCTCCCTATGACTGGCGAAGATGTCTAGGATTGATTGCATGTCCAAGCAGTAACCGCTTGGGTGCTACTTGAGGCACCGGCACAGCTTTGAATTTTGGTGGCTATTGGGTGAACTGGACTCGAAAGCCGTTGTCTACTTTGGTTGTCTGCTTGGCTATCAAGTACTGCACTTGGATGCTTGTGGTGAACTCGAAAGAGACTGCATGTACTGTATTGTACTGAACTCGCTGTATTGTAGTCAACTGATTGTATTGAACTTCAGTTGAACGTGTATTGGCAATACTGAGAAAAGAGAAACGTCAATATCAATCGACGTGGTAATCGTAGTGCGAATAAAAAGATAATGATGGGGCTAGTTTTACCGAAAAGGATATTCAACAAAGGCGAACCCCTTCATGCGACCAGAGTAATAGTCAGTGGGTATAGTTACGTCGACTATTGGGCCAAAGCGACCAAAGGTCCGACGTAAGTCCTCGTGTCTGGTTATAATGATCAAGCATCTCAAGAAAAATTACCGGCACGAATCTGGGATGTTGCGGATATATAGAGAACTGCCCCGGCGAGGCATTGGCCGAAGACGAACAGTGAAAAGGGAAACAATGGGAGGTGCGCGCGCACGTCGGGCCAATTAAAACAAATGGCAGTGGGTATCACGTTTTTTCAACGGTGAAATATTCACCAGTCTGGATGCATGATAAGAAGGTCCACTGATTACCTATATGGAAGTAGCACACTAACTGTGTACAGCTCCCCGCTCGACAGAAGCATGTATAAAAGTAGTTGGAGGGGAATGAGGAAACGTAGAGATAAGTCCCAGGAATGCCGACGTAGATGCCCGTTTAGTCGTCCAGCCCTACATGCCTAGATTTTCGCGAACATTTATTTAAATGGTTAAGCCGCAGATGCGCATATGAGCAACGCGAGTGCTATTCGCACAGCCAGTAATTTCCACACGGTACGGGACAGACACGTAGAAAACACAATTTCCTGTCGATAATGGTATGATTTAAACGAAATTCCGAGGAACGTCGTCTGTCAGTATGATGCGTGCACAGTTTGTAAACGGCCTCGGCATCCTTTTTCAGTAGAGTAATGACAAACTCTGGTATCATTCTTTGTGCATCAATAACAACGTTAGTAAACATGTGTTATTATAGGTCAAAAAATTCCCTTCGATTTTGCCTCTGTGAAGCCTAAGTGTAAGGCGTTGTTGTCGAACAGGGTACTCAGAGACTCATGTCTATATTGCCCCAACAAACTGAAATTATACATATGATAGCTCAGAGAAACCGTTCGATGAAATCGCTGACCTACGTAACTGGGTCAAACTGCTGACATATATATTTCCGCAGTTAAGTGTTTTGAGTGGAGACATTTCCGAAATAAAAATTTAAATAATTGATACAACTTCTGGTACAGTTCGCGAAACTATTCGCAGTCAAACCCTATAGCGGATGTATACGTCCCGGACCATCTGTATGCGACTGCAGTCCACTCTTTTGATAAGGGTGTTGACAAGCTAGGAAGCCGATTGTGAGGCTCTCTGAGACAGTTGAAACAAAAGGTTGCATGCAGTCGATAGCTTTGATTCCCATTCGTATGAAAAGGGTTCTAACTGTTGGAGCGAAACGATTTTCTAGACCAAATCCACTGCGCGATTTAGCGCAATAGCAGTGCCCTTACAGGTACTAAGTAAAGCAACTTATTTATACGAAATCCACTTGCATTTCTGTCTGCGGATTGTTGTTTTTTGAGTGCGCCAACACTTCCGAAGTCACAAATTTGCTCGAACCTGTTGTCGCTTACTGGAAATTGTGGTATCTTCTCTTAACAGACAATGACCAGCTCAAAATTCATCCCCATGGGAATTTCAGAAGTTCATTTTTCTGAACAGAAGATACTTTGCCCCCTCTTCCCAGAAGCAAGTTTATGTGTCGCGTTTGCACATTGGGCAACAGTTCTTTAAATTTTCGAACCTCGGAAAGTACGCAAGAGAATTTTTTGCCTCTATCCTGTTATCGATTGAACATCCCGTTTGCAAGAACGGAAACTTGGCTGAAAATATGGCCACGGGAGCTGATGCCTCACAAATAGACTGAGATATCCTCGTCTCCGGGAACGTCATCGAGGACTGCAATTTATTCTACGGTCAGCTTTAGCATCTTCTGAAGAGTGACTGTCCCTTATCGAAGGCTACGACATCCAACCGACCTCAATGGCTAGTAAAAGACCTCAGAAAGGTGATGAAAAAAAATAAAGGCTTCGTAATACGTTTTGCGAAAACAACAATAATGCGGCCGTTGCAGAATAAAAAGTCCAAAGAAACAAGATGAATGACTTAATTTTCAAGAGGCGACGAGATTTCGCGAGTCGTTTGCTCCACTGAGCCGCTAAAAATCCAAAATTGCTCTAGAGCTATTTGCATAATTGCACCCATAACAGAAATCCGACTCCTGTCATGAGGAATTATGACGGTTTGGAGATATCAAAGAGCACAAACAAAGTTGAGCACTTTTCTCAGTTCCTCCAATCTGTTTTCACAAGGGAAGCAGCTTTCATTCCGCCTACTGCTAAGAGTATAGGTGAACCGATGATTTAAAATATTGAATTTCGAGAAGAAACTATTTTTGAA